ACTGCCATTCCCGGCGCCTTTGGTTGCGGCAAAACTGTCATCTCTCAGGCGTTATCCAAATATTCCAACAGTGATGTCATTATATACGTCGGTTGCGGTGAGAGAGGCAACGAAATGGCCGAAGTGTTGCGCGATTTCCCCGAACTGACGGTCGAAGTGGACGGACAGACCGAGTCTATTATGAAGCGAACGACACTCGTGGCCAACACATCCAATATGCCGGTCGCCGCTCGAGAGGCCTCTATCTATACTGGCATTACGTTAGCCGAGTATTTCCGAGACATGGGTTACAACGTCTCTATGATGGCTGACTCCACTTCCCGTTGGGCGGAGGCGTTGAGAGAAATATCTGGTCGTTTGGCGGAAATGCCGGCCGATTCTGGTTATCCGGCGTATTTGAGCGCTCGTTTGGCCTCTTTCTACGAGAGGGCCGGAAGAGTGAAATGTATCGGAAATCCCGAACGCGAGGGCAGTGTCTCTATTGTGGGCGCCGTCTCTCCACCGGGCGGTGACTTCTCAGATCCCGTAACGTCCGCCACATTGGGTATCGTTCAGGTCTTCTGGGGTTTAGACAAAAGACTCGCACAACGAAAACACTTTCCGTCTATCAATTGGTTGATCTCTTACAGCAAATACACGCGCGCTTTGGATGACTTCTACGACAGAAATTATCCCGATTTCGTTCCCTATAGGACTAAGGTTTGTGTCGACATTCATATATCGATTCAAATTGAATATTAAATATAATTTGTTGTCCTTTAGTGCCAACAAATCCTTCAAGAAGAGGAAGATTTGTCAGAAATCGTACAATTGGTAGGAAAGGCCTCATTGGCTGAAACTGACAAAATCACGCTGGAAGTGGCCCGACTCATCCAAGAAGACTATTTACAACAAAACTCATACACGCCTTACGACCGATTCTGTCCCTTCTATAAGACGGTCGGAATCCTACGAAATATGATCACGTTTTACGATTTGGCCAAACATGCCGTCGAGTCGACGGCGCAGTCAGAGAACCGCATCACTTGGGCTACCATTAGAGAAGCGATGGGAGATATTCTCTACCAATTGAGTTCAATGAAATTCAAGGTATGTTATTATGCTGTGGTATGCAATGGATAATGAATTATTGATTTGTTTGGCATTTTCTTAAGGATCCGGTCAAAGACGGCGAAACACAGATCCGTAAAGACTTCGAAGAGCTCTACGAGAATATGCAGACAGCGTTCAGAAATCTGGAGGATTAAGACTATTAATAGATTATAATTTATGACTTTTTATTTTATAATATAATTCAAAGAATTCTTTTATTTTGTTGAAAATATTTTTTTCTTGTTTTTACAATTCATTTATTCGGAAATTATAAAAAAAAATCATTGAATTATTAGATGTCTTATGAAATGAATCAATGGTTTTATTGTTTGTCAGAAATATATTCAGAAATAATGAGCAGATTTTGAAGACTATTCATTATTAAACAATAAATATATGTTTAATAATTATCAAGAATAAGAATTGAGTTTATTATTCACTGCCTTCTAATCAAACATATTGGTAGAAATATTTCATATATACATTTAATTGATTCTTGACTTTGTTTTTGTGATCATTTTTTTGTCACTTATAAACCAGAAATGTTTGTTGAATTATTTTTGTGATTTTATTGTTTTATAGCAATTAAAGCAATTGTTTATTTTGTGTGATAAACATATAATAACATACAGTTCTATCGCTGTATAAATATCATTAAATTTACTAAACTATACATTCAATTAAATACAATGCATACATATAAACAAGTTATTCATTAGCGTAGAGACAACTATACTATTATGTATTTATCAATCTTTTTATATAATTTGTGACTTATTTTTTAATTTACGTCTAATAATAATATCATTAATGTAGAGTTATATAAGAAAATGTGATTATAATTACTGTTGTTATTGTACGTATACCTATACTCTACACTGTAATTGATATATCTAACAATTATTATCTGTATTATTATAACCAAGTATTGATCTCAAATGGACTCTAAAAACCACACAATATATGATTGTTAAAGAAACTGTGAAATTCCTCTATCTTTCCATTGCTCTCTTATTTTTGCTCATTTTATTATTTTCTTTATGTTAGAAATGAATATAAATATTATAAACGGAACTGAGAATTGATAACAAAAAATAGACATAAATAAAATGATTTAGTATTCATTGCTCGAAGTAATGGCAACGGAGAAAAAGGGTCAGTAATTATTTGGTTTATACTAAATACTAATAATGTATGACAAATGCCGTGCATTTCTATTTGGTCTCCAATCTAATCAACTCTCATATAAGACACTGTATATTAAGTATTCCGCGAACGTAAAGGACTTTGGATTTTGTTTTATTAAATTTATGTTTCAAAAAATATATTCGCTATTCTTTGCGGTAATTTATTCCTATATTTTATAATTTTGTGAATTCATGATTGAATTGATTTTATGATTTTATTTAGAGAACTGTCTCTAAATATTGCATTTTTTTCGACAAACAGTTGTATTCAAGTCGCCTATCAATAAGATTGACAATTGCTTCACAAACTCACTGTAAATACAATGAATATATTTATTTATTTATTTATATATTTATATTCGACTCTTATTTGGTTTTTCAATCACAATAAGATTGACTTAAATATATTCTTTATTCTTATACTGAATAGCAGTACTATATTATTATTATTACTTTAGATATTCTCCACATTCTTGTGCACCACTTTCACAGCGTTTTAAATAATATATAAATATAATAATATTATATCCTTTTAAACATCTATTTGACAATTAGATTAAATGGAAGACTATTTTAAACGATTTAAATATTTGAACAAAAAAATTCTTCGTAAATCCTATTGTATATAATTTTTACACAAGAAAATAGTCGACAAAATATAGCACTTTTCAACACAATGTTTAAGTTATTGGTTTTATTTGGATAAATATCTATCACAAAGAAAAGCCTCAAAAGAGGAGATGAGAGAATGAGATGATCTCTCCGACCAAATATACTCACATAAATCACTTAAACATAAATATTATTACATGTGATAAGAAATATTTAATGACAAATATTCAATGACATGATTTATATTTTACATCAGCCGCTCATAGGAATGGACATCAATTTATGGTGTGTTTGATGATAATGATGAACACGTGAATCGATTGTTTATACATATTATGGCACAAGATTCAGGTTTTTTTTTGTGAAACCCATCGCAGGAAAGGTTTTGATATAATTTGAGGCAATATATCAATACATGAATACTTACTACTTTTTTGTGGTCGTTTTGGTTGTCACGTCTCGCATGGACTGAATTGATAAGATATTTAGATTGAAACTTATGGTTAGAGCTGACGTTGTTCTCAACGTAAGTGGTTATAAAAAGTGGTCATTTTATTGGCCACAACTTCTTCACAAAGTTTTCATGAATACTGTATAGAAAATAAATGATCACAAATGAGTAAAAATAAATGTAAGAATATAATTATTTATAATTAAAATTTAATAAATAAAAGTCTAAAAATTCTGTTTTGTTTAAACATATAATGCATGTAAAGAGTGTAAGAATTGGTTATATTTTATGTAAATTAGAGACGACAGCGAGAAATGGATTTATTTAGACATCAATTTGCAGTGAATTATAAGAATCAGGTGTTTATCGATCTCTGAATGAGAGAGACGTTCGCAAAGTGTTGGCGAAGGAGTAAATGGAGCGCAAAATATTCATCGATAAAAGCATTGGTTGAACGCATTCTAGCCGTGTATTCAACGCTAACAGACTCTCAATGAAAATACATTTTTCTCATCTAAAAGTGTAATAATAATAATAATCTCGGGTTTTGTTAGCATTATATCTATGAAATTAGATTTGATCTCATATTATACATAATTTCACGTATAATTTTAATATTAAAATCTTTTCAATATTAAAATACCTCTCACTTCTCCTACACAGTCATCACTGATTTGTTTTTATATTAAAACGAGTTTTACGTAAAACCTATTCAAAGTAGTGGAGAATTATTGTTTGTGATTTATATTATAACAATTTAAATTAAATATATTTCATTTGAACTTAAAGTGACTTACAAGTGACTTGTAAGTTAAAATACAAATCATTTCGTTGACAATAAAATATATCATTAGTATTTTCATATAGAGCTGTAATATAAAGTATTAATAAATACAATATAATTCATATTTTTATTTAACATTTGGATTAATTCTTCCAACGGGTAGATTAACAGTACCCATAGATTTAACAATAGGTCTATAGAATTAATATCATCCATAGAATATTGTATCATTATAGACTTAAGCTGTAATCAGATGTTATTTTTCGTAGAGAGAGAGAGAGAGAGAGAGAGAGAGAGAGCGAGAGAGAGCCAGATCGATTATACAAACCTTATTTTAATACTGTATTGGGATTAGAGATTAATAGTATGACAACTTCATGAACGACAGTGATGATCATTGTATTCTGCAATTCTGTCATTTTATTTAAATTATATTAAAACGACAATTAAAACAATTTCAATGTTTTATTTCACAATTCAAAATAAATCCTAAGTTTATGTAAAATTTTGTTAAAATACTAATTTCCAATTACTAATAATCTGAATTTTTAAAGAATTTGGCTTATTCTGAAATTCAATTTAGGTTAATTACAAGTAATTAAATTTCAGAAATATTAATTAGTATTTATAATAAGTTAGTATTATTTATACAGTAATTAGTGATTTATCTGTTAAATATACTAAAATGGTATTGTTTTAGTAAAATTTTTAGAAAGTTTTGCAATAATAGTGAATAAAATTATTGTAATTGTAAATTATGATAAAGTATTTTTTTCAACTAAAAATATAAACTTTTCTAACAATAATATTTGTGTTATTTATAATTTTTTACTAATAAATGGAAAAGAAAAGAAACTCTATATAAAGAGTATAAAAGAATTGAAGCATTAATTATAAAAAGAATTTCATTAATTTGGTTGATCTGAGAGATAATTAAAAGACTGAATATTTATTATTCCGTTTAGTATTGAAAACACAAATTGAAACGACTTTTTCATCTAAACTTTTAATCAATGAAAGCGTTGAAGTATTTGGTTGGAGAGAGAGAGAGAGAGAGAGAGAGAGAGA